GATGAAGCCTTGGGTCCGTACATAGCAAGGAAATGGACTCAAACTCCTTATGTAAAGCTGTAGCCAGCCTTCTACAAAAAGCCAGAGGGGAAAAAAAACCTGGCCCACTAGCCTAGGGATACAGAGTCAAGGGATTTTGACTTCTGCCAGGGCTGTGGATGAAACAAGATAAGATGAAAGAAATCCCAAGCCTGTGCCATATGTGAATGACAGATCCATATTTCTATCATGCTCTTGGTATAGAAACCAGACAAAGAGATTAACCTAAATACTGAAACTATAGTGTCCTAGCAGAGGCAAGTGTAAAACCACTTGATAGGACACCTCACAACCTAGAGCATGATGGATTCCCCAGAAAACAACAATCATTAAAGATGAATTCAGAGTTAAAAATTACAAAGTACATGAGGACAAAGAAGCTGCCTGAGAGCCAGCAAATGCAAAACCGACAAGTTTCACACCCTGAGGACAGATGATACAAAAATCTGAAAGACACTTCAGAGGTAAAAGAAGGAATAGAAGCCACAGGCTAAGGGAAGGGCTCAGGAAGAGTTGCGGGGAAAAGGCAGGATGGCTCTGCAAGGGAGGTGGGAAGTTTGCCAAGAATAAACCTAAAACTTTTTCTGGACTTGATCCAGGTTCTTAGGAAAGGCCAATCTTTTCCAGAAGTGGAGTGAATGTTGGCATTTGTCATGTGTCACAGGATAAGACTTAGGAGACTCTGGAGAAGCTTCTCTCTCACATTCACTATATTTCCCTGAAATTTTACATTGCCATATTATCCAATCCTCCATCCGTTTCAGCCTACTGGTGTTTATAAACTCTTTTCAGGTTGTGAATACTCAAGGGAGAGCGATCAGTCATTCACAATTTAGTATGATATATATTCAGACCGCCTTCCTCCAGGCACTTAGGCTGAACTCAGCCACACTGCGGTAGCTGAATTGTAATGAGCAGAAGCAAATAAAGGGAGGGAGTGCTGATGGTGTAGAAAGAAGGAATGAATACGAACTGTGTGAGTGTAGAGAGGGGAAGCGAATGAAGTGCTAAAATGGAGGAGACTTGTAAAAGGGCGCCAAAGACCTTTCAGCTGGGTTACCACACCATTTTACAGGGTTGGCCCTGAAGGTCGGCATTGGAAAAAGAACTACTTGCAACAGAGCATTAAAAGGTGTTCCTGTTGAACCGTCCAAGAAAGTGATCAAAATCCCTTATCACTTTCTCTAAAAAAAGTCCTTTTGTTTACATTCTCCGGTAGCAGACAAGGCGGAAAACTTACCTTGTTTGGTCACGAAATTGATAAATCTCTGAATGCAGAACTGGAAAGGAACAGATAAATCTATAGTTAGTATTACTGAACCGTGATAACGATGTAAAGAATTTAGAAGTCAAAGTACAGAAACCCCAAACTAAAAAGTCCACACGCCTTAGTTTCCTGAAAGTCTGTCAGAGTGGGGAGAAGCAGCCAAGTGAGGGTGGCTTAGACCACCCAGGGTAAAGTAGGGTCTTTTCGTACATGTGAGTTTCATAAAACGGACTCGTGCAAAAAAAGAAGTTCCAATGGTAGAATTGTATGATAGAGAGTTGAGACAGGGAAGGTACCCTTATCCACCCAGCTCACGCAGGCAAACCTATCAGCTAGTGCCATCATTTTCGAACCGGGATACGCTAACCTCTGGGGTTCTTTCTAAGATACCGAAGGGACACTTGGCCAAGGCTAAGATTTATGGGAATAAATCTCTAGATCCTCAACTTCCATAAGTGCTATTTTCTAAAAACTGATCATGATAAGGATTTACCCATAATGGAGGTACAGGCTGTCCTTTTATATTTCCCCTTTCACAGTCTTTCTTTTCCTATTTTTGAAAAAATAAAGACATACTGCCTATATCGTCGCCTTGGGACGCCTCTGAGAACCAAATAAAGGAGCAAATCAAATAGTGGTATTGGCGGCAACAGAGTGACAGAGTGCTTCCTCTGAGGGATAACACGTCCTCTAAAAAAAATCATAGGATTTTCCGTTTTTTTGCTTTCAACACTGCTTTCAATGTTGCTATTCAGGTTGTTAGCTGAAAATGATTCAATGATCAAATGTTCTGATTTCCAGCATATGACTCAAAAAGAGTTGAGTGACAGTGTGATAACAAAGTTTCTTCCAGTCTTAGCTACTAATTTATAGGAACAGGGTCTCACAGCACTTATTTCTCTAAAAACAAAAACCAGAAATAGTATTGATGCTGAACTTTAACTCATCCTAGCACAAGTAACAGTCGTCCATGAATTCATGACCTGATTTATAAAAAAAGACTCTCATCCATCTCATTTAGAGATGCATTTTCAGTAACATTTTACTTTGATGTTTTAATCAATTGTACACTAGTAATAAAAAATTCAATGCAGAAAAAAATTTTAATACCCAGAGTTTTACAAACATACATGTATATGTTCTTTTTTCCCTCAAACAGAAACTATAGGACGTTACATTCACGAGTCTACACTTTGCTGCTTTTTTAACACTTAATATATCATGCAAGTCTTTCCGGATCTGTAATTATAAAACTATCTCATCCTTTTAAAGGGCTGTATATAATTTGATTGCATAACTCAAACATAATGTATTTAACCATTTCCTTATAGATGGATATTTGGGCTGTTTCCATGTTTTCCATCTATTATAAACAATGCTTAAGGAAGTTTTTGTACATGTGTCACTTCACTTATACAAATATAACGAATGGCATTTAAGTCTATGAGAATGATTAAGTTTAGCCCTAACTTTTTACTTGCCTGCTTCTTCACTCAACTGTAAATTCCTTTAGGGCAGAGACCAGCTTTATTGGCATCGGCTCAGCCCCTGCCATATGAATAAATGAGTAAATGAGACCCACTTGCATTTGCCTTCTGTAAGAAGAAACGGAATGTAGTAAACTAAATTCTTTACTGATACTGTTTTGGGTGGGATGATTTCTTTGATGGGACTATAGGGAAAAAACATAGATGGAAACTGGATCAGCCAAAAAAATCCCTAAGGATCTCCATTACAGCTGTTTCGCAGTTTCCTCCAGCCTATGATTTCCCTGACATTCATCTCAGAACAGTTTGGAGTTTTCAGAAATAACTTTTTCAGGCCAACTATGGAAAAAGAAAACCATAAATGCAAAGAGATGGAAGAGTCCACACAATTCAGACTTCTTATCGTAATTTAAGCCCAAGTCTTGTCGATGTTTAATTTATTTGGCACAGCTTCCTAAGTCTCCATCCTGTTCCTGCTCTCAGCTTCACCCGGTCTGGGGCTGAACACAGGTGGATATTAAATAAGTTATTTAAACTTTAAGTAGGAAGTCAATTTAGGCTGGCTCGATGCTCCGGACAGACCACCTGCTCTGGTCTGGTCTTGCTTATGCCTTTCATTCCCACTTATTTTCTTGACATACTCCTCTTGGTAACGTCCATTATCCTGAACTTCCCTTGCCTCTCAACCTCCAAAAGCCTTTCTCCTGTGCCTACCCTACTTCTTTCTTTACCTGAAGTACACACACTACCCAGCTGCTGAGACTGGTTCTGCCCAGTGGGGCCTCGTGCCCTGGACAGCTAGGCCGTCTTCCACGTAACATTCACGGCAGCCGCCATTTCCCCCGGACTCTTCCCTAGAGCACATCGGCTCCTGCTGCTTCTCTGCCCCTGTTTCAAAGCCAGTGTCCCCTTTTGGGTCACCCACAAGGCTCCTGTTTTCTGTCTGTTGGATGTTTTCTGTTCTCGGGAGATTTCCAAGGTGAAGACGACTGACCTGCTCTGACTCTGGATTGAGTTTCCCCATTTTAGGTTACTAGCTTCTTAGCTTCTTCAGATACTCTGGTGACTCGGCTGTGACCTCCTCAAGGGGATGGCATGTGGTCATTTTCTCAGAAATCTATCACTATTATTTTTCGGTCACAAAAATACTTTGAACATAGAATAAAAATAAGGTCACTTCTCAGAGGAACAGAGAGGAGTCATTTCCTTAGGGGCCCTGTCCTGATTAGACATGGCGGGAGTGTGGATAATGGGGACAGGTTTGATTTTAAACAAGAAAAAGTAAGAAACAGAAGGAAAGTAAAGAAAGAGGCAGCTAGGTGATTTTAATGAGGGCAGGTATGGTAGGATGAGAGAGGCTAAGAATTCTCAAATGGAAAAGAAAAAAGGCTGAGATTTATGTGAAGGAAAAAAGTTAACCTGACAGTTCAGGGCTGAAGAGAAGTCCTTTCGTTCAAAGGCCTCCAACATCTGGTTCGTCTTTTTCCCCAGGTAGTTATAGGTACTGGAAAGAAAACGGCATATACTGCAGAATCAATAACCCGGTGGGAAGGGTCCAGATCTTCACAGTCCTCTGTTGCTTAAGAGGCAAAAATACACCATATGCTCCAGAAAGTCTATTTTTAGGCCCGAATCTATTTAGAGGATCAGGTGTCTTCGGTTCTGAGTTTTCCAGCAATACTAGGCAGTGCCAAGGGGAGGCAGAGAATACCCAAGGGAATAAGGAAAATGAAGAAAAGAAGAAAAAGGATAAAATTAGAAAGAAGAGAAAAAGTAAAAGCCGGAAGTGTAGTTGGTAGGGAGCCACCGAGGCCAACACTTGCCCCAGGGCACACACAGGGGTGCAGTGCGAGGTAAGGACTGTGGGTAAAATGCAGTATCTGAGGCGAGACCTAAAAGCCTCAAGCCGAGGAAGTGGGGGAATGGAGCACTGTAGCACAAGGGGCAATCCCAACAGATTTCCTAAATTCCTTGACAATCTATATATTGCCTAGAGACCAGTGTCTAGAAAATAATTTTAATAATGATAATGATAAAACGAGAGGCCATTTATTTTGTGCCTATTATATTTTAGGTGCTTGACATAAATCCCGTCTCATCTTCTCAAAGCCCTGCAAAGTTGGCCCGGTTCTTCCTTCTCTGTGAAGAAACTGTGGCTCGAAGAAGGGCCACAGAGTCATCACAAAGACCTTCCAACACTTCATGCTGCCATCTATTACGATTCAACAAAAATGAAGTGAGAATAAGTCATTTGATCTGAAAAAATGTTCTAGCAGACTTTAAAATAAAGCTCTAATTTTACCAATAAAGAAATATCTTAGACTAATTGCTGAATTCTTAGAGAAACCAGAAAGATAGAAGGTTAAATAAATTCATGACAAGGATGTTTCCCCAGCTGCTAATGACTTCCTATATAGTAAGCCAGTATCAGAAAACATATTTATCTTGATGTACCAAGAACAGAATGGTCTTCATATATGTAGACCCTGGAGTCAATGGCAAAGGATGCCAAGAACGTGAAGTTCATATTATACTCCGGTAATAAAGTAAGGAAAACAAAATATAATAGCTGAGAAAAGTCGCTTGTAGGTGTGAAGCACCCCTAAGTTACAACATGTACATAAATGAGTGAGGAGTTTCAGAATACCCAGGGGTCTTAGGTGTGTCCTCAGTTAGACAGAGAGAAATATGATTATAATTAAAAAGACACAAGGTCTAATCAAGTGTACTTTGCTTATAAATTATGTTAACAATTAAAATTTCTGGTATGGAGGCCAAAAAACAAGAGTCAAAAAAGTTAAAATTTCCTGGGGGGGAAAAAAGGTTCTATGGCTAGCAAATGCAGAAAGCCAGGTTTCCTCCATAGAAATGTCCCTCCAGCCCACCCAGGCTTGGTGAAGAAGCCATTAAGGCTTTCCAACTGATGTCTAGATGCGTTAAATTTAAAAAATATCATACACATACAAAAAGACTTTCCAACTGAAATCACTCTTTATCAAGAACATGCTCTCTAAGACATGTCATGACTGTTATTTTTCTTCCCCTGTACTTTTCCTACTGGGAAGAAATGCCCTTTCAGTTAAAGCAAGCATTTAAATCTGTATGCAGGCACATTCCCAATGAACTAGGTTAATGTGCAGTGGCCATGCTAATCGAATTGCCTGCTTTCCCTAAGCCTACTGATGAGTAGGCATCAGGCCACGTGATTCTACTTTCCTGGCTGCAGCAGATAGGACCTTAGGCGGACATCTGACGAGGCAGAACTACCTAGTGACATCCTGAGACACCATGTTTGGGCAGCCATGATTGACCATGTGCATGCGGAAGCAGAGAAAGCCCGTCTGGAGAGAAGGAAGGAAGGGTGAAATAAAGAGTGGTACAGACAGATGCAGAGGTGAGCGTCTCCACAGGACCACAGATGGAGAACACGTCGCCTTGACTGTTGAGAGCTTTGTAGTTCTATATTTTCATCTTCTCTTAGGCCTGGCTGCTCTTCTTCCTCTTGGGTTTTAGGTAATTTCTTAGTCTTTTGAAATAACCCCCCCTAGTTCATATAAGCTGGTTCAAATGGGATTCTATTATGTGTGATCAAATAATTCCTGACCGAAAAATTCTGTGCATGCTTTCAGCACCGGTGTCTCACCTCGAACTGCAATAGAAGCTTCTGATGACAATGACTGAGTTGCTAAGCCCTACGTAATTCTCTTTCACTGAAAGAATGTGGGGAAGAAAGACAACTTCTATAGCAAAGATGTATATGCAAGAAGTGTAACTATTTTGGTAATCATTGCCTCTTATGGGGGGGTACTTTTTTAAAATAACCATTTATACATTTATGACTATTGGGAAAAATGAGTCCAACTTACCTGCCCACTGCTCCAGTTGCTCCCATCACCAGAGCACTCAACAGTTGCTAATCAGAAACAGACAAAGAATATTCACTTTTATGAACGAGAGAGAAAATGCTACTACATAAGCAGCTCCATAAATAGTTCTGGAGGGAAACTAACCTGTGGGATACACCGAGGAGTGACTTACCTCATCCACACCAAAAAGGAAAGCAAATTGGCGCTGGCGGTTCTGATCAACACACTGACCGAAGTCTAAGAGATCCGTGTCACTAAATTTCAGCCCTTGGAAGGTGGGGATCTTCTCCTGAATCCCATCCAACAACTCCTCGGCACGAACTGCTCAAAACAGTAAATGCTTCGTTAATCTGCACATCTCCAGAAAATATCAAATAACATCTAATCGAGCCTGCACATCTGCACTGAGCTGCCAAGGGCTGTTCTCAGCTGGAACTGACCACTTGCCTTCGCCTTGTAGCTCCTATGATGTACTCATCAAATTATAGTCCCAAGCCTTCAGTTCCTTGAAGACTATGGATGGATATTTATAAAGAACTATTTCCATTTTTTTCCCTTTAAGGAAGTTAGAAAGGAATGGGACTAAAAAAAAAAAAATCTCCTAAAATTTTCCACCTAATTGTGACAATTTTCCTGTTGGAGAAGTAATAACAAAAGAAAAGCTAGAAGAAATGTGCGAAAAAGCCAGAGTATCTTTTTAAGTGCCAGGCACTGAGAATACTGTAGGGCACAAAGCAGACACAGTCCTTTTCCCAGTGGGGCTTACGGGCTGTGTCTTCCCATGTGAAGGAGGGGTGTGTGTGATAGATACAGGGTGTCTGCTAGAGTGCCTACGGGCCAACTCTTACACTCAACTTCCATTATAAGGTGGTGTCGATGATCGATAAATGCTGACTCCTTTAAGATAAGAGGTACTTATTTTGGAGCATCTGAAACCATCTAGTCAACGGTGTTATGCTTTTATGACATGGGGTGGGTGGGAAGGAGTAGGGCTTCTTAGTGCAATAGGGTAAGATGTGGGGTGGGGGAAGAACTATGGAAAGAAGCAGTACTTACTCTTCACTCCTGTCAAGGCAGGAATGTGGTAGTAATAAAATGGCAGTGCTGGGGCAGCAGCAGCCACCTCCTTTAGGAAATTAACCAGGACATCTGAAAGAGCAGCAGGAAAAGTCATTATGCGAACACAGGTAAAACACTGGCTTTCCCTAGCGGATGAACCGTCTACTGAAATGCAGCCATCCTTTCCAGAAGCTGAAAATTCTTGGTTGGCCATTCTTACCATCCCTGAGATTACTACTGCCATGTCTTTGCAACTCACTTCATTCAAAGTTTTATTTTTCTTTCTGTAGAAAGGCCAAAATGATATGATCTCTTTCTTACCATACTAAAGTACTATTAAAAAACTGGTGTGAATCTTTCCACCTATTAAGAAGAGCTCATGAAATAGTCTTATAAAAACCAGATACCTATCAAGTAGGACTCTTGTTCTCTTACCACGGAGGGGTTAAGTGTGGTCGGTGAACAACAAGGAATTGCATTAGGATCAGAATAATAGAGTTGTAACTGAGAAAATCCTACAACAAAAAGATAACCAACATCTGGTCAAAGAGGGACGAGCAGAAGCACATTTCACAAGAATTCGATCCTTTTGGGGAGAAATCCAGATACATCAGAAGAGAGCTCACTCTAGTTTACTGAGGAATTGGGACCTTCTACATCATCCAGTGTGAACTCCAACTGCAGTAGCTCTGCAGTTGATAAATAAACCCAGCAGAATTGTTTGCCTTTTCCACGCCACTGGATAGCGGGAGAGACAGTCTTACGTTCTTCAGCTGAATACTGTGATGCTGTGTTCTCTCTGTGATAAATATTTCTGACAAAATTATTATGTTTAACTTGTTGTTTTTCCTTTGTCTTTTGAAAAAGTATTCATGTAAAAATTTTTAAAGCCATGTGGAAAAAAAATATTTTAATATGTTCAATTTAAATTTCTTAAGTAGCAGTATTTAAACCACTTATCATATTAACAACTGTTTTCTCTCTACTAATAATAGGTGATATTTTATGATAATTTCGACCCATTATATATTTAGTTACAGATTTATTTAATCATGCATACAAATAACATCTTGTCTGTTTTTAATCCTTCTAAAATTTTATTTCCTTTTTTTGCCAATCAAAAGGATTAAAAGGACTCAGTATACTTGGAAACCACAAACAGTTTCCATAGAGAAAGCAGAGGAGAAAGCAATAACTTGATATTCTGGAGAACAATAGACGTTTCTGTGAAATTTCTTTTCAAAGTCATCACTCACTCAACCTTGAATGGAACCTGTAGTCTCAAAATGCTCAGCACTTCTATTCCTCTTGAGAAAAATGGTCCCACGCTTTACCATGTGACTCTGACACTGCGCACAACTGATAGGACAAGGGGTGGACGCCTGACCCAAACAGGCACCTACAGGTTGACCTGGTTGTGGGGAGGCGGGGTTGGGAGATGATCTAATCAGATAACTTGGCAAAAGAGCTGAAATCCTTTCACGAAGTATTTTCTTTTATGGATCCAGGGAGGCCAAATATTCTGGACAGCTCTGTGCCACCGTAACTTCAGGCCTCCAGTCCTTAAAACTTTACTTTCACGAGTTAAATATAATCATTGTGAATGAAGGCAAAAAGAAGCGGATCATGTGAGGCGCTGCTCATTTAAAGGTCTCTACTTACCTTTGTTCCATGGCTTGAGAAAGAAAGGTGCAATGACAGCGATGCCATCCGCTCCTATTTCTGCTGCATGTTTGGCCTTTAAAAGAAGAAAGAAGACCAGTACGGATCTGGTCACAATTCTGATGTGTGTAGGTGCGGGGCTGCCCCACTCCAACGAGCAATTCTTTGACACTAGCTGGGTGTCCTACAATTCAACTCAACTCTAACACTACCTACTTGGACAGAGAGTCAGATTCCACAGATTTAAGGTTCAGTCCCCTTCCCCTGCCCCCACTTCAGATGCCAGTCGTAAGCCTAGGTTGTCACCTGTGCTTTTGACCCACTGGCTATAGATTAGGCAATTCCAACAACTCCTCCTTGGGTAGATAAATTTTGCTCAGGACTCAGAGAAACCTTTTACTTACTAGATTATCAGTTTATTGCAAAAGGATATAATTTAGAAACAGCAAGAAGAGAGCTTCCAGGTTGGTGAACAGGTGGAGATTCGGAGAGGGGAAAGCCATGGGGAAAGGTCTGGAGCGTCCACACCCTCTCCTAACGCAAGCACGCCACCCTCTGCAAATCTCCACCTGTTCCCCAACCCGCAAGCTCTCTGAACCCTGCCTTTTTGGATTTTCATGAAGGCATAATTTCATAGGCACGATTGATTAAATCATTGGGCATTGGTGACTAATTAACTTTCAAGCCTCCCCCTCCCCAGAGATTGGGTTGAGGGGATTGGGACTGACAGTTCCAATCCTTAAATCAAGTAAATCACTTGGTTGGTTCTCCTATCCTCGAACTCACTCATTAACATAACAAGAGACACCTTTATTGTTCTTATCACAGGAAATTCCAAGGGTTTTAGAGGCTTTGTGCTGGAAACAGACCAAATATAGCAATCCCTCCTAACCCACTTGACTGGTTTATTTCACTTAATATAATGTCTTCGGTAAGGGTCATCCATATTGTAGCTATGACAGGAGGAATTTCCTTCCTTTTTAAGGCTGAACAATAATCCCCTGTATGTATGTACCACATCTGGTTTATCCTTTCATCCTTAGATGGGCATTTGGGCTGCTTCCTCCTCTCGGCTATTGTACGTAGTGCTGCTATGAACTTGGGAGCGGGCCGCCTTCTGGGTTTCAATTCTCTCCCACTCGCTGGCAACAATTCTCAATCTTTACCCCTCGTGTCTGAAACCCATCTTCCATCTCCTCTATGCCCAGCAGATGGCCTTGCTTTTTATTTCCTAGAGGAAACTGAGGTTGGTTCGAATTCTGCTCCTTACCTGCAAACTTAGCCACCTCTAAAGCCACCCTTACTTTGCTCAGAGGAAGAGGCGCTTCCATCTCCTATTCAAAGCTCTGCTATGGTGGCCATCACTTCGGGCTACTCTATGGCTCTGTGCCTGCTTCTAGATGATGAGCTCCCTGAGGTCCCACACCTTGTATTCTCCAGCACAGCATCCAATATGTAGCGAAAATGGTACTGATTTTAACTTCAGTATAAAAATGAGGCCCCTTGAGTGATCTCTCCCAGATGAACCTACGTGCCTACCAGTTCTTGTGACTCCTTCAGGCTCAGTGCTCCTACATGGATTACCACCTGATCCAACCTGCAAAAGAGAAAACACTGTTGCATCACTTGAAGTTTATGGAAGGCGGTATCATCCTGGTTTGTGCTGGCTTTAGCAGTTACCTAATATCTTATTAATCTCAATCTCAAAAGACTTAAATTCTATAGTCTGCTGTTTAAATTAATCTAATTATGGGTTTTTGTTTTGTTTTGTTTTGTTTTTTAAAAAGAATGTCCAGGGAATAAAACTTAAAGTTCAACTAAGCAGTAAAATTTGAAACCAGTAACTGGTTAATCAACATTTGAGTACTTGTTTTGACAAGGCGTTGTAGATGTTGTACTTGATGTACGTAAAGATAGGTGTAAAAATGAGGAATTTTTTTTGTTGTCGTTAGAGGTAAAAAGTTTCCTCAAAGAGTACAACCAGGAACCAGCCATGTGAGAAATGAATTCATGGTAAAAAGCTTTTTTCCTATCTCATAAGTCCTCAGAATTTGGCCATAAGTGAGGTTTTCTCCGAGACTCCAGTGTTCACCTTTGGAGGTGCTCCACATGGCCCCATGGGAAGAGGCTCCAGTTAGACTGGTCTTCTCAGGGTAGGGTTAGTAAGACTTAGCTGTGAATCCAGCTAGTGGGCATTCTGAGGGACTCTGAATGACACAGATCTCATCCTCACAGGGAGGGACACACATTCCCCTTTAGGCCCAATCATTGAGTCTTCCATTGATCCTTGACTTGTTATATCTTAGGAAGATGGGACCTAGCTGGGAAGTAATACAATCAAGTTGGAATTTTTAAAGGATATTAGAAGACTTGTGACAGGACAAAAGAAGCCGACTGTCCTGTTTCGCTCTGACCAGCAGCTTTATTACATGACCTCCTCATACCTTTCACTGCCCCATGGGGCGTACCCCCTAGTTTTGCTTCCACCTATGATACCGTCAAACATTCCCTCCTCTGATCCCTGTTTCTACCACTTATCAGAAGGATCTGAGCGTTAGTTTTCACGAGGCAACATCTCCATTGGACGGTAAGCAATGGGGGCAGACACCTGCTTTACATCCCCGGTGCCAGTACAGCACGTACATAACAGACAACAAATAAAACGTGGTTACTTGAATATGCTTATTGAAATGATACCGTCCGATTTGTTTTACCATGGCCTGAATGTTATAACAAAAACATCATCACACTGAAGTTGAGAGGATGCAGAAAGTTCAGTAAGACAATAAGAGGAAGCACCACAAAGAGCATGCTGATCATACGCTCATAAAGAAGACCAGAGAGGAAGCACAGAGAAGACCTGGGAGGGAGCAGGGTTGCTGGAAGCATCGCGTATCCACCCCGAGAAGGGAAGGGGTATGAACTGATCATCAGAAGAGCCAGGAGCATAGCAGAATCAGTCACCAGCACCTTCCCCTCTTAGCCCCTCAGGCCAAGGACCCGTAACTGCGAGGACTGGCCTGGTAGGTAGATGAGCGGCAGTTCCCAGCAACTGTGAGGAAGGCGTGTCTTGCAGTCCGGCTGCCCTTCCACACAGAAAGGAAGGGCACCTCTGCCGCGGCTCCTTGCCAAAGTGCCCGGAGCCTCGCGTCCCTGCTCATTTTCCCACAGGCTGGCCTGAGCCTGACTTGTGCCCGGAGGGCACGGAGGCCGTCTCATCTGGGAAGAGCCGCACTGGGTACAGCTCTTGCAGGTGAGTGTTTTCATCCTGGTGGAGCCACTCACTTGTTCCTCCCTTTTGTCACCCACTCCTCTGCGACCTGGCGGCGCTCGGAGACGTTCAGAGACAGGCCTTCTCCCGTTGTGCCATTCACTGTTCCAAACAAAGATTCCGTCAGTGGGACCAACCAATACCTTTTGCCTGTCCTACGCCAACGCTGGGGGAGGCAGGGTCAGAAACCCCTGCTTAAGAGGAGGTGACAGGGAGAAACGTCAGAGGATGGGTTCAGGGAGGGCAAATGACATGTTTCCATTTTCACCTCAGACTCAGTCTTGTTTGCATCCTCACCTTGGGAGGTTAATTCTGACTTGTAATTACAAATCTGTCTTCGTTATCAGGGGCAGAGAGCAAATAGTTGGAATAAAGACAGAGATAATTGCCCATGTTTTAAGCAAATCTCCAAACACACCACCCAGTTCGATACTGGGGCTTGAATGGCAGGAAGACCAACACCAGTACTGGGATGGTGAGGCAGTCATAGGTGGGAGTTATGGGTGAGGACAGTGGTGTACACTACAGTTCTACAATGGCCTCTGCCATAGTTCAACATGGTAGCGCCCTGGGACAACTTATTTTTTTAATGATAATTCATAAGAAAGTACCAGGATGTTAATATTTATTATATCAAGCACTCTTAGATATTCACTTCTTCTCACAACAGCCTCATGAAGTACAAATAATTCTCATTTACAGATGAAGATAGGAGGTTCCGAATCACTAAATAATCGAAGTTTGAATCCAGATCTGTGTGATTCCCAAACTTTCCCTTCAACTACAGTCCTCTCTTAATGGATCGATTAAGGAAGGATGCAGATAGCACTAGGGGACATTACTGGGGCCTAATGCATATGGCAGCACTTTGGGGCTCCAAACACTGAGCTCCGGTTGGGGGTGAAGAAGAGGGAGGGATGTGAGGCGGAGCAGGAAAGAGTGTTTTTATCACTCTTTTGGGGTCTCGAGACCCCAAGGTCTTCAAGGATGCTCCCTAGGGCCCTTTGAGGAGGAAGAATCTACCTCCCCACTATGGCTTGGCACTGCAGGGGACACCGAGTGGTTCTGTAATCAGGTTTTGGTTGACATATGGCCTTTGCACAGAGGTTCTAATCTGCTCTGATTATGACCAAGGTGCCTCCAGTTCTGAAGGGGATCCTGTGTCCGCAGAATGACAACCAACCCGAGGCGCTGAGGTCCAGAACACACCACTGGGGGGAGCGCAACCGCAGGTCTCAGGCTTAAAATGTTCAGGGGCTGATTTTTTCATCTCCACTGTCTACGGATAAACAAGGCTAACTTCTAGGCCTGTGATTCCTCTGTGTGCTGCATTCATAGTCTTTCTTACATTTACAATATGAAAAGTCTGGGTGAAGACAGAATAAAGCCCATGCCTAAGAGAGAGGAGCCAAGGATTTGTTGTTACGTTACCACTTCTTGGCTGAGTGAACTTGGGCAACCAAATAACATATCTGAACCACAGATTTTCTTCTTGAAATGGAGATAGCAATAATACTTTTGCTGTTTTGAAGGCACACCACCAAATTAGATAATCTCTTGTGGTGCTTTTCAGATCTAAAATTGATGAATCTACAAATGCACAACTTTTACATAGCTTAGCCAGACTCAGTCAATGACACTGTGACTTCCTGGCTAGTAATCAGGTGTGAGCTACTTTCTAAGGACTGAGCTAGAGATATGTAGAGAAATCTTTAAAGATGACTTACCAAAAATATTCTTTACTCCCTGTTTTTCCACAAGATAATCCACATACTGACCAATTACTGATAAGTTGATTTCTCTAAAAGACAAAGGGAAAAAATAGGAAAATGCATATTTAGTCTCTTTTTAGAATATTATTCAACCAATCCTCAAGTCTACAAACTGCTATTAACAGTTTTTAAAATCCACCTAGTCAGTTTTTGAAATTCTTAGCCTGCTCTGAATAAAGCCGGGTTTTAGTTTTTCTCCTGAGTCTGGTTATTTCTCTACTTAGCCATGTGCGCCTCGCTTATGTGAATGAAACACTATTAGCTATCAACAAAAGATTTACATTTAATATTTAAAAATCATCACAAGTAATATTTAAAAAGTAGTTACTTTTGTCCTTTTTGGAAAGAGTAATGGTTGGGGTCATAGTGAAATGAGAACTTCACATTTTCCACTTGGTGAGAAGCGAACGTTTCCTAGGCTTACAAAACAGGAAAATTCAATCTTAATAATCTAAGAATTTTAGCACTTAATATTTGTGATAACAAATGAAGGCTTAAACCCATATGTATTTGCTAGCTTTAAATCAAAGAGGATTAACAGCTGGAAAGGAACTTTGCTGTCAATTTGCCTCTCAAAGTGTGGTCCAAAGAATAGCAGAATCTGGTCTTTGGGGCGTCTATTAGAAACGCAGGGTCCCAGGCTCCACACAGTCCTACCCAGACAGAATCTGCACTGAAACAAGATCCCCATGTGATCTGCATGCACTTCGCAGTGTTGACCTTGTAAGGATCTGATGCTTAAAGCAATAAGAGCCCTTTTCTTTAAAATCACATTATTTTTAAAATCTAGAAACCGACTCAAACACAAAGCGTATAAAGCCACCTGTTCTCTATCAAAATACAGGTGGGGAGGATGGCGGGGTGGAGGGAAAAAATACAAAGGGAAACTGTGGGACAAGTCTGTGTTAAATGCTGCAGAATCTATGGTTAGTTTGCCAAGAACACAAAGTACTACTAGCTGGCTGCCATTTTCATTTTTGTCAGTGTGGCCAGAGAATCCTAATTTAATTTTAACCTTATTAACATACTTTTCTCGTTTACTTATTGTATTCCTTAAAAAACAAAAAAACAAAACAAAAAATCTGATGCATACAAAAAACAAAGACATCAAAGGGTATGTGTCAAAAGGAATGGACCTGATAGAGACAAAAATAAGGAATGTGCAGGCCATCACTGCCCTCCACATGCAAATGACGACCAGTCTGAGCCTGCTGCTTGAGAACAGCTGTGCTTTAATGTAGGCAGAAAGCCTCCAAAGGGAGCAGACTCCCTCCCAAATGGCTCAGCCCCAATATCATTACTGTATCTGGGTCCAATGAAATGCTCGATCGTTACTGCTGTTATTACTCCTCAGTGATGAAAACCGGAAATACCTCGCATCCTCAGCAAACTTCACGTCTCTGTTATTACGAACATCAATTATTTGTGCCCACCTTCCAGGCTGGAGCGAGAACTTCCTGAAGGCAGGGAGTGTGTCTTTTATGTCTTACAATCCCTATTCTGCACCTGGCACAGCATCGACGCTCAACAAAGACTAAGGTTCTGGGAGCTGTGATGCGGGTACTTACGATGGTGATGAAATACCCATGATCTCTGCCTTAAAAACAGCTTATGCTCCCACTAGCACGATGCTTTTAAATTTCACTGTTACATTAACTGAGTGAAGGAGAAAGCATATATAAATAACTAAAATATTGAGGAAAATGTGAAGGCTATGACTGAGTTAAAAATTAAGTGTCTAGGGGTTCAGAAGAGGGACTGATCATTCTAATTAGGGAGGATAGAGGAGGAGGTAGACCTGGAATAATAAATAGGGTGAAACTCTGTGATTCCCCTTCCTTCTCACATTTTTGAGAGCTGCTATTTGTCTGGCCTATTCTGGGGCCCTCCTCTTTCTAGGGAGTTGGCTGCACCCTAGGCCAGATCCAGGACAGTATGCGAAAGCCACGCTTCTTTCTCCTCCCTCAGTGAACTCTATGCTAGTTTATGGATTTCGCAAGTAGTGTTTCCATCGACATGTGCTCCCCCACCATCTCCTGACTCCTTTAGGCCTTGATGGATAACAGGCTATGACAATCTCACTCAGCTTAGGGTTGCTAATGGGTGGTAGTTATCTGTCCCTTCAAGAAAGCAGTTTGCTGCTGCTTATAAAATGCCCCTAACCTACAAAAATGACACTAATGGTAGAACTTCTAGGGCAGTAGCTCAGTCACCCAAAAATGTCCTCAGATTAAGAGTCTTTGGAACTACCAAATTCTCCTTAGAGAGGTCAGAGGTTTGAAAGGGATGTCCCCAAATGGGTTTCTGTTTACTTTCACAATTTTAAAATTCCTTTTCATGTTAAAAACAGACTATATTTGAAAAGCCAGAAGATCTAACAAGGCCAGCCCTACATCTCCACACAGTACCAACTGGCTGGGAAGCACAGTGGCTATGACCTATGGAGGCACAGAAGCCCCAGGTCACTTCAGGGATTGATCCCTGCCTGACTGCAGGTACAAATTCACAGCCCTTGGTAGAGATTCTCGGTGGCCCCAGTCACAAGTGAGCCCAGTGAAATCACCTGAAGCTTTACCGTATTTGTGACAAAGGAACCCCAAACAGCAGGGCTAGGGTGGTAACAGGATGACAATTCTCTCGGGGACTTTGCTCCTTTCCTTGTTTTCCCAGCTACTCTCCTTCCCTATGGGTTCATATTCATTGCTGCAGGCACTGTATCAATTAGCAGGAAGTCACTAGAGGGAACAGAAACAATGAGAAGTAATTATTCTTTTCACTGGCTAGCTGTTTGGGGCTTGGTGCTCATAAAAGTGAAGGATGGCCAAAGCAGTTCACTTGTAAAGGCTGGACTGGCTTTCGATTGCATCTTCTCTTCCTCCATGAGCCCCAAGAACACCTGTAAGCACTGGCCACCTCAGGGGAGAGTGGCCCAGAACCAAATCCCATGCTTGCTGTCGTCATTCTCATACTTAACTCCAATTTAATGTCTTAATTTCAGTTCCCATGGGTTCAGATTCTTTGCCTAAGGGCCATGATTATTTTTTAAATAAAAGTATTTAACTTTTTTCATATTACAGAAGCGATATAATTTATTTTTGAAAGTACATATAATAAAAAAAAAGGAGGAAAAAAAACCAGTCAGGATCTCCCTGGAGATGGTTACTCTTATTAGTTTGATATTTTTCTATTCTCAAATACACAACATAGTATTTTCTTAAATAAATATAGTTATATTATACATTATTGCAATATTTTTTCACTTAGCATTCCAAATTATTTCTCCACATCTTCAGATATTCTGTTCTTATACTGGCTACCCAGCATTTCGCTGTATGAACATAATTTAGGTAATGGTCTGTTCTTAGACATTTAGTTTACTTCCAAACTCTGTAAGAGAAGGGAACTTTTATCAAATTATTTTTACCACAAGTAGAGGCCCTGAGTGAGTGAACTGTGATACTACATTTATGTTACATCTCTTTTCTTAGGGTATAAGGAAAACAGAATTTTTCTGAAATACCTTTCCAGAGGAAAATCCCTATTGCTATTTATTTCCTCTCCTGGTACATGACACACAGACTTTCACTTTATTTGAGAATACAGAATCAACAGGACAGGCTCTTTTCATAACTGGCATGATCTAGCATGCATATCAGAAAATCTGGCTTCCCATTTTTTTTTTCTTTCATATATATCTTTCAGCATTCAAAATCTGATGGAAGTGATGTGTGTTTTTGGCAAAACAACTACGTAGCTACTTCAAAACTCCTTAAGCCATGAAGCGAGCAGGGGTTATAACTGCCCCACCTTGCCAGAGGTGGAAAGCGTTTTGTTCTGGGAATCCAGGTCACTTAGTCACCCAACCGTAGTCTTTTTATATATAATCCCGACTCCAGTGGGCCAGGCCCTTTCTGACCAGAGCAATGGGTTTGTTTTTCCTAGAGAATGTGGTAGAGATTCCAACAGCAAAGTCAAGGGCATTCAAGGGAACAAACAATCTTTTCCTTGACATTTTGGCCAATGTGAAATGGACTTTCAGTTCTAATGACTGTGTCCTTGCACGAAGAAAAAAGTGACTTGTTGAAATGACTAAGGAAAGCAAAAGTCTTTTACTTTTGTGTAGAAAAGACAGGAGTTGGAATGAGTAGAGACTTTTCTTTCCAGCTACGTGGCTAGGGGCAAGCAGCTTAATCTTTAGGCTCTTGGTACCATCAACCACAAAAATAGAGATAACGGATTTGTCACAGGATCGTTGTGAAGATTAAATTGGAACACGTGCATTAAAATGCCCAGCATGATGACTGACACATAGTGTTTAGCCAATCGGTGTTGGCTTCCTTTCCTCCCTTTTCCTGACCACCAGCATTATCCTTCCCTGTAGTATACGCACTCATGAAATAACAAAAATTTACCTTTCACTGTCCAAGAGGCTGAGGATACCAAGATAAATAAGATACATGCTCAGTCTTCATATATTGCCTGGTATTCAATAAGTAATCTGGTAAATAAGGTTAAGCCACACAGAGTGTGCTGGGAGAGACAGGCATGTAACAAACAGTTATTGTAAAAATTATTATAAATAATTAATTCTGATGTAATGTGGAAAAGCGTAAGCAGGGTGCTGTGAGATCACAGGGGAATAACTCTCTCTTTTTAGGAAAATGGGGAAGAATCACCGAAGGACGATTTTGATGGCTGAATAGAAGTGTTCAAGTGGCATAGAGAAAGGAGAGGATGGTGGTGGAAAAAGGCAGAGGACACAGGATGTGGAAAGGCACAGAGGGAAGGACGGGTCTGAGGTGTTTGGGGGGAACAAGACTGCAGCAGGAAAGGAGACCGCAAAGGACTTCCTGTGTCGCCCCAGGGAGTCTGGGCTTTAATCTTTGGCCCGATCCATCTCAGACTCTAATATGCTAAAGAATTATCCAGAAACACTTAAAATGCAGGTTCTGATTCTCTGGTATGTAGTTGAACCTGAGATTCTGCATTTCTAAGAGCTCTTCTGTGATGTTGGAGCGCATGGTCCACAGACCATACAAGGAATAGAAAGGCTTAGGCTTGAGATCCTTAAAGAGGAGAGTGGCGTGATTAGATCTGTTTACAAGGAAGCTCACTGGGCTAGTGTAAAGGATAAACTGGAGTTGTGGATATCTTATCCATTCTTGCTTAATGGGGATCACCCCAATATCCCTGATGACATAACACAAGAAGACTGAGGATGCTCAGAATTCAAATAGGCCTGAGATTAAACTCCTCTCTTTACAGAATATGAAAGGGAGCTTGTAAAAGGTAATGAGACTTCCCCAGGGTCTAACAGCCAGTTGGCAGCAAAGCTAGGGGTTAAGAACCCAGATAATCTACTTAATCAAGTTCTTTCTGCCAATTTCCCACTCGAGGACATCAACATAATTACACAGTTGATTCGTTAAGGAGTATTCCTTAGAATTACCAAAAAAAAAAAAAAAAAAAAAAGGATGCAGGGGAATAGTTCTTGTTCAGCCATTCTGAATTGTGGAGGCCACGGTATACAGTACAAGCCAGGTTAGAATTCCCACGATGGCAGGCTACCAGGCAGAATTTCTACGTGATAGATTCCATGGGACCCTTCTTTTTGTCTTGACTCTTGGAAACATGTCAGAAGTACAGATTCCCTTGTAGGTTAATGCCCGCCTGCTCCTGGTGGATGCTCCAAACCTGCTTTGCACCTGTAGGAATGTTTGGATGGAGCAGGCGGTGGGAGGAAAGGGCGCTGACATAGTTTATGTGTCTGCTACCTGCTCGATACTTTTTGAATGTACTAATTTAATTCCTACAAATCCCTTACCAAAAAAACGCATTATTATTTTGATTTTGGACCTTAGGAAAGTGAGGGTTCTAGAAAAGAACTGATGAAAAAAGAGGAAACAGTGAAATGGAGGAGGAAGGACCAGAGAGAGGTACTTGAGAAATGGAGAAGGATGCAGCAGAGTCATGTTGGTCACCTCTGACCCATGGGGCCTGGTGTCCCAGGAAAAGAGCAGAGTAGGGAGGAAGAACACAGTGACACTCTCAGTGGGTCCCCGATGAATGGACAAGACTCTTTCGAGAAGTCACTTCTAGGCTAAGAGGGATCTGATTAAAAAGATGAAAATAGTATCAACCAGATGCCGTGTTTTGAGTCTGCAAACAGGATCTTACTCCATAACAGGAAGTAAATTCTGCCTGCTCATGCAATCACATGTCCTCTGTTTTATCTGCGTAACAAGTGGCGGACACATTGAGAAAAAGCTGATTTTAGTCTTTCCTAGAACTTATGGAAAGGGAGAAGCAATAGAAAAAAAAAAAAAGGTCATTACTCACTGAGTAATCTAAATGCCATCTCAGCAAGAATTTTACTCAGATCTAGCAAAGATGTGCTTTTTCATGATTCTTAGAAACTGGAAGTCTTGACCTAAGTGCATACTGACCTTGTGCTAAGCATTGCTCCGTTGAAAATCTGTTAATGTTTATAACTCCATGATGTAGGTATGACCATCATATTTTATAAAGGAAGAAAGAAGCTTAAAAAAGCCAGGATTCTGACTGTTTTGGCAGATCGACTCCTCTAACAGGTCAAAAACATTTAGATCCAGGAGGTGGATGAATCCCCTTTTTCTAAGTAGCAATGTCCAGGCAAGAGCTATATATCGTGCACAGACATGTATGGCACATGAGCATTATCTGACAGTCTAAACAAATGGACTGCATTCTATTTCATCTGCAAGTCAAAATAATTGTTTGGGTAATGATTTCTCAGCAATCATCTGTTGTTACCTCCCACTCCTGCAGGCTCCCCAACATTTAACCAATGTGGAAATGAGGCTTTCAACATCCCTAAGGGGTTCCTCTTAAGCTACCTTCTCCACCTTCATCACATCTACGCACAGCCTGGGCTGGAACCACACAGACGTCTAGAGACAGGCCCTAGAGGGCCAGGCCAGTGCTGG